GACGGTTCAGACAGCCGCACGCCTTGAACGTCATCATTGGAGTTAGCCGTATTAAAGGACGCCACGTGGCGAGTTTGGTTAGCAGGATCAAGATCGTGCAATCATGTTCAATAAATGCGCCTTGGAACTCAGACATTAGGGTTCTGGGTGGTAGATTCGCTTCTTCAAGGCTGAAACTCGGCCAAAGAACTCAGGCCGAGGACCTCAGAAGCGAGGGGGCAATGTTTGGGCCCAAAATAACAGTTTGGGCCGAGTGTAGGGTCATTCTCGGCCCGGAAGGCCTTACGACAAGAATACTATGGATCGTTCAGTACGTGGGCATCCAAACCTAGGTCAGCTAGGTCATAACGCAAGAGGTCGAATCCTAGTGCAATAAGGAGTCTCGGCAGGACCCGGAAGTGAATCCGGCTCAGTTAGGGACTAGGTTCACAGTCCTAGTGAAGGTAGGACTGGTCGAGTTGATGCTGATCAGGGGAAGAAAACCTAGTCCGAGTAGGTTTTTAACTCGACCTTGGGGGGAGCCATTGCTATAAATAGAAAAGGTTGCACATCCTTCAATGACCCCTGCAAATCAATACAAAATTGCCCTGCGCAAATTCTCACAACTTGTGATTTTTCTTTTTCCTTTTTTCGCTGACACATCTTCCGTTGGCATCAACAGCACTGTGGAAGCAACCGGTGATATCTTAAGTCGGCATAGATAGCTCTGTCACCGTAGAGTTAGTCGGTCTCGCAGTATCTTCCGTTGGCATCAACAGCACTGCGGCGAGAACGGTTGATTACCTATCCAAGTCTCGGTCGAGAAGGGTTTCTAAATCCTTATTGGTCGAGGTCATCTCATCAGCCTTCTCGGCGAAGTGAGGTGTTACAGTTATTACATTCGGCACATTGAAAGCCGAATTTGATATTGAACTTCTTAAGAATAGTAACCTTGTCTTCAGGTTCGAGAGCCCAAGAGGTCGAGACGTGTTCCTTTCTCGGCCGCAATCGCAAGACGCAGAAGTCAGTAGCGCGACCCAACGCAACATCAATAAATTTACTCATCGGCCGAGCTCGGCCGACGAGTTGGCACGCCCCGCATTCACCGAAGGACGTAGTTAGCTCATTAATTACTCGGCCTGCGCGCCACGTAGGCTTTGTAGTTTCTAGGGTCAACAAGGTGAAATTCTTGAATTTATGAAAGACAAACAATTACAAAAATGTTTGCTAATGATGTTTTCATTAATTAAGAATGAAAATTGGAAATCCGAAGATGATCACATACCAATGGGCTTTGTGATGTCATTTATGTTTTAGACCGATGCCCCTCTCGAATGAGGATCCTCTCTGGATCCTCTCTGTGAGAATCATCTCCGGATCCTCTTTTTAAGAATCTCGAGAATTCTCAAATCGTGTTCGTTTATCGTACATCATGCGATCAAGTTTCTTCAGTTATTGTTCATGTTTAATTTTAAATAAAAATATTTAAAATGATTTTTGATCGAACAATGTACGATAAAAGAACACGATTTAAGAATTTTCAGAATTATAGTAAAGAATATCCGAAGAGGATCCTCATTCGCCCCCTCTATACCCAAAAAACCAATAAATAGATCCGACCGAATATCCAAAATCCAAAAACAGTTGCGTAATATCTTTACACATGAACGGTTGGGATCGGTCAAAGGACGGAAAACCAGAACACACGTGTCCGTCTCCGTTCGTCCCAGTAGCAGACCGTAGACCGGAACTCTGTATCGCGAAATCAAAAGACGTCACGATATAGAAGAAGAAGAGAAAGAGAAACGGAGATAGATATTTGATACAGATTTTCCGATCGCACAATCATCGACATTCTCGACCAATTTGAAGACTCGGAATCGCTGGTCCGGCGAGGGCTGGCTTCGTAGATGCAATCACGGCTCTAATCAAAGCAATCACTAGTATTAAGATTTCGAGAGGCAGCAGAGAATGCATGAGAGCCTTCCCTAATTCCCTGCTTGCATGCCCTTCGTTTCACGGCGGTCGCGGTGCCCTACCCTCCGCCGGTGGGCATCCATCCGATCTCACCTACCTGGCCGGCGGCGGTTGCTTCTGAAAACGACGACCGCCTGTGTTTCCCCTTCTGGGTTTTGAGTGTACTTCGTTTTTTATTAAGCAGTAATCAATGGTTACGGTTAAGCAGCTTCAAGATGGTAACTTTACGTCGCAATTCCCTCCATTTTCTCTGCAAGGTTCGTGATTTTTCTTGCTTTTGATTTGATGGGTTTGAATATTTCTGATTGAATTTGATTGGGTTTTATCTGCATTTTATTCATTTTTCTTGTTACATGTGTATTGTTCATGTTGTTTTTCAATCGCTTTATATATTCAGAAGGACTTCAAATTTTGTTACTTTTGTCTTTCCCATGGATTTTTTTCGAGTGTTGATGAATGAATTTTCACAGGTATAAAAATCCCCTTGTACCGTTTTAGTAGCAATTCGATACTGGATAATGGTTGTGTTGGAGGCATTTCGTGTGTGCACGAAGAAGAAGGAGGAGAAGAAGGAGAAGAACAGAGTGTATTGGATTCTATTCTTCTTGCGCAGGTACGGTTCATTACAAACTATAAGTTATAACCTTGATAGTTCTAGACTTTTGTCCTTGTTTTATGTGTTTTTTCCCAATTTGGCAGTGGGAAGATCGAATGTGGAAAGGTCTGTTCAGATACGATGTGACAACATCTGAAATCAAGGTCTTTGTTATCCTATAGCCTGGTGATTCTTGTAACATTGATGATTTAAGTAAAGGCACTTATAGTTGGAGATGGTCCATGGCTTGTGCAGGTCATCGGTGGCAGGAAGAAGTTCATTGCTCAGTTTAACGAAGGATGGAGTAGGGATTTTATTCCAAGGATGGGCAAGAACAAGAAATTCCTCCAAGAAGATGCGTTCAAGTTTAGTTGGATGGAACTGCAGGAGGAGTTACTCTTTTGTGTTTCAAGTGGTGAAAAGTCGAACCCTGAGCTTGTTCTTTCAGCTGCTGTGCCTGACTGTGCCTTGTTGATTGCTATCAATGTAAGGCACTGTTTATCTATTTTGTTACCTGGAATGGTCATAAGTTGATAATCATCTATTCGAAATGTCACCTAAGATGGTGCAAACTGGTGATTGTTCAGTAGCTATACCAAATGATCTTAACCATGCAAAGTGTAGATGTTTATTTGTCTTTTGATTTTATATCTTCTTGACATGTAGACGCAGAGGCGTTAGAGGCTCTTAGTATGTGATGAATTGTTTTGAGGACTTAAAAGTTTTGTAGATATCCTGAAAACATGTATCGAGGTAGGAACTAATCAATTCTTTGCTTATTTTTCAGGCATCCCCCGTGGAATATGGTCATGTCTTGTTGGTACCACATGGCTCTAAAATTATTCACCAGTACCTCGATAAAAGGTCATTGGAACTTGTCCTGCGCATTGCTGTTGAAATAAATAATTGCTCTTTTCGCCTATTCTATGACTATTCACCTAGCGCTTCTCCTTTATATTTCCAGGTACATAATGCCTTATACTGGTTGCTTTTCTTCTTCTCTTTGCAATTCAGATCAAAACTTTATTTTTCTCCTTGCAATAATTAAAAATACAATTGCATGCAGGCTTGCTACCTTCAAATCCCTTTGCCTGTTGAGTTCATGCATTTCGATACAATATTTGGCGCTGGGAAAGAGGGGGTGCGCATCTCTTGTGTTGCAGAGTACCCCATTAAGACCCTCGTATTGGAGAGCAACCACTTTAATACGATGATGGAGGTTCTTGCTGAGATATGTTCGTGTTTACAACAAAAGCTCATTCCATACAATCTGCTAATATCTGATCATGGCAAAAGGATATTCTTATTTTTCCAGGTAAATGGCGAATGGTTTTATTTCAGCTGAAAACCTCATCCATGTAATTTATTGTGCGAGTTCACTCTTCACTGTGACAGTGGAACAATGAATATCTTACATTTGTCTCTGTGCAGAGATGATTTTTCGTTTGTAAGCATGGTTAAACGAATATCTTGCTTTTGTCTATAAAATACATCCACAGTTGATTTGCGTACTAACGAATTTGTTTTATGCAGCTACATACATCAAAAGACTCTTGTACCCTTTCTGCTTGGGAGTGTGGGGGGTACTTCTTGTTTAAATCTAAGTCTGAATTTGATCAAGCTACTGAGCAGGCTCTGCTAAAACAGCTAAGTACCGTCTCCCTTGACGACAAAGGTTTCCAAGCAGTGAAGTTGCTCTGTTGCAGCATTGCGGGCAAGTTTGTATGTTGAATTTGGGAGCTGGATTATTACCCGTGTTACTAAATAACGAAAAACAGTCGATGAAATTCTGTATTCCGATGAAGGTTTACAACTCTGTAATCTGGGATGACATGAAAGTGTATATTTTTTTTATTAATGTAAAATCTATTGATGTATGATATGATTCCGAAATATAATTTATTCGCTATGGAACCTCTACGTTCCCTAAACCCTTGACATGTCCGAGATGGGTCACAGATTGACATCTAGTTATCGTTACCTCGGACTATTGCAACATGGAAACTCTGCTTTCCCTATACGCCCAAGGTGGGTCACAGATTGACATCCAGTTATCGTTACGTCGGACTAATGCAACGGTTGGTGGTGTCCAGTTCAGGGAAGTCATCATAGACCGGCACTATACCTTCTTCTCTTGTACTGCTGAGAAGTCTGTGGAACTTAAATCTGGCTTCTAACATGTTACAGATTGCAAGGTTTTTCATCCTCTCATATTAATATGTGCACATGATTGACAATAGCAGTCGAGATAGCGTATGTGCTCAAAAGGTCCCTTTCTTTTCCCTCGGATTTGGGTTAGGTCAGTTAGTTGGTCATGACAGTATGTCCGCTCCCATGCACCCCAGTTCGAAATTCCAGTTAGTCATTTTCTAAGCAAATTTTTGGCTTCTTGTGATATGGTAACAAGGCAAATTTCAAAATTGCCCCAAAACCTCAAAGCAATCACATGAAGTCTTAAGAAGAATCTCAATGTGTATATATATAACATAACTTCAAATTAATATACAACTACATAAAACAATTATGAAAGAATTATATTGGAATAATATAGTGAATACAATTTCACTTCCTCAATTTTCATGCCTCGCACCTCCGTCTGCAGATTCATCGGATGCTCTTGTGGTAGACTGTCCGCTGCAACCGGCCTCTTCATCAAAACTCGGAGCTCCTTCCTTCTCTTGTGCTTCTCCCCCGAAAGCCTGACTACTTGTAAAAGAATTGTCTCCAGCATTGGTACGCATCCACGCTTCATGGAGTTGCAAGGCATACTCCAAGTGCCACAGAACTTCCCCCATTGTTGGCCGGCTCTTCCCCCCATCAGCGAGACATTTCTCCGCTATCTCCCCAAACTTCTTCAGTGCCTCGGGACAATAAGTTCCTTCAAGACGACGGTCAATGATGGTCTCAAGGGACCTCTTTCGTTGCCACATCATTGCCCATTCTGCAAGATTGATCTGATCTTTTGGCAAGGTTGGGTTTATAACAGGCCTAGCACAAACAGCTTCAAACAGCACTACACCAAACGAGTAGACATCCGATTTCTCTGTCAACTGCTGTCGTCGATAATATTCAGGGTCAAGGTATCCGAAGCTTCCTTTAACTGCAGTACTAACGTGGGTGTGGTCCAAAGCCGGACCTGTTTTAGACAATCCAAAGTCGGACATTTTTGCGACAAAATTTTCATCTAGCAGTATGTTGGTTGTCTTAACATCCCTGTGAATTATTCCCCTATCTGCTCCAGTATGAAGATAATGGAGTCCTCGTGCAGCACCAATGCACGCTTCTACTCGTTGCTTAAAAGTCAGCGGTGGGAGATCACTCCCAAAGAGATGGCTTCTAAGTGTCCCATTTGCCATGTACTCGTAAACCAAGATCATCTCATTTTGTTCTTCACAGAATCCAATCAATGACACCAAATGCCTATGCCTGAGCTTGGAAAGCATCTCAATCTCCGTCTCAAATTCAGCCAGTCCTTGCTGAGATTGGGGGTTGGCTCGCTTGATTGCTACAAGAGTGCCATCATCAGTCTCCCCTTTGTACACCTTACCAAAGCCTCCAAGTCCAATCACTAAACTTTCATCAAAATTATTCGTTGCTGCACGGATCTCTGGTAACATGAACCGCTTGCCAGCTCTGATAGAGGGTGCAGAACCATATGGATTCTGGCTTCCTGCTCCCTTGGCATTGACATTGCTGTTTAAAATGGAGCCATTAAGGAATAACGGCCTCCACCCAGCGGGGGTGTTTTTCGTGTCAGTTGATTTTCCTCTCAGTCTATTGCAGAAACAGTAAATGACAATGGCAAGAATGGCAACAGAAGCTATACCTGCTCCAACTCCCACCCAAAGCATTTGATTTTTTGAACTCCGTGGTGAAGTAACACCTGAATCATACTTCTCAACATAAGCGAGATTCCCATTTCTACTGAGCTTGAAAATCTCCAAGCCATTCAAGAGAGCATCAGTTCCTGCAGCCCCAGCTGCTGTGTCAGGACCCAATTGAATCCATAGTGTGTCAACTTTTGGAGACACCACATCGAAAAAGTCCTGATGATACGCTTTGTTCTTGCCCCCCGCACGGACAAAAACATTGAAATTATCTGCTGCAGTCCTGTTGTTTATGTAAATTCTGAAGATCCTCTCTTTTGCTTCGTCAAAAATCAGCTCACAGAAATGCAGTCGAACTAAATAATCGAAATCAGGATGAACTTCAAACTTCCACGACATGTTGAACCTTTTCTCCAATACTTCAGTGTTGACCATAGTTCTTGCAGTTTCATATACAAGAAGAGGCGCCACCGAGGAATCATTTGCGGACGAAAAGGTAATGCTTGATCTGTTATTGATTTTCAACCCGGCATTTTCTGTGATCATGTAGCTAGAATCCACTTCCCATGTTCTCCAAAGATCTGCATCCTGACCGGGATCAATTTCCGAACCCCCAACATTCAACCTATACATAGTCTCAATCCCTTGCCAACTTATACTCTGATTTGCACCATTTCCACCCACTTTACTAACTGATCCTGCAAAGAGTGTATCCACCGCCGGAACAATTTCAATCGCATTTACGAATCCAAATGACCCCTTAACCGGGATGAACTCAAAAACAAGTACATCCTCCTTGATGGCCAAAATGTACTCCTTAACCAAGAAAGAAGTTAAATTGCTCCCTGAACTCAGCAAGTACGCATTTTTTCGGGATATCTCACCCGAAACACTGAATTCAGACACCAACTTCAGACCATTTGCAACAACTCCAAATCTAGATTCATTCACATTGTAATGATCAAATGGGAGAGGACGGAAATGGAGCCTAACAAAATAGCTCCCCCGAGTACCTGGGAACGTGTAGTTCAAGCCACCATCGAAAATTCGCGCCGTAGCGTACAGCGGCTCGTATGTTGTTGAATCAACACTTGAGGGAGTTGTGGATGCAGCATTCGTAGGGGAGCTGAGGGTGAAGTTGTTGTTGGGGGCTAAGTCACCAACCCATTTCCTACCACTCACAGTGATGCTGGAATTTGTGCCACAATTTATCAGAAAAGATTTTGATTGAGCTTCTGCAATCCTTGCAAATGCAGAGAAAATCACCAGAAATAGCATCCCAAAAATCTCCCTGACCGGAAGCGCCATCACCAAATTTCTAAAAGTGGTATCTTTCAGTGAAAAGAGAGGTCCCAATGGAAAAACAAGAACAACCCAATCTCCAGAAGAGCTCAAATTATACTAAAACCATGAAAAAACCCAACTTTTAATTTCTCAAATTTCATCAAAATATTGAGAAACCCCATCAAGTTTCACCTTCATCACTCATGTTTTTGCATTTGAATTTCCTTGTTTGGAAACAAACCTGCCATGAAGAAAGACTGGTTTTTTCTGCAAATTTGTATTGCACTCTCAGAAATCAGCACACCCAATTTCTTTGCAGATCTGAAGCAAGAAAATTTGAAAATTTGGAGGGCAAAAAGCAAAGAATTGTCACAGAAGGTGGCAAATTTGACAAATTTCTTCACCAGTGAGACTATAACCAATGACAAAAACAGGCAAAAAGAACTTGAAAAAAAGGATTACAGCAAAGAAGACTGCAACAAAAGGTGGCAAAGGTGACAGATTTCTACACCAATGCAACCGAAAATTCAACAGAACAAGAAAAAAAGCTTGAAAAAAAACAGTTTTTGCTTCAGCAATGGGGGATCTATCAGAATAAAGAAAACAAAAGAAGAAAGGGGAACATGGGTTTGCTGATGGGAACAGATTGGAAAAGTTTAATTCATCTTTTGCTTTTTCTATTTTTTTGGGTAAACATTCATCTTTTGCTTGTCCTGTATATTTCACCAAAAGTAGCCAGGAATCTGACGAGTGACAGCAATAAATTTCTGCACTTTATTACAACATTTAAACTCTTTAAAATTTTAAATTGTAACTGCTGCAACAGGTGGTGTCTGTTAATGCAACTTTCATTTTCTGGTCAAGTTTTGTTTTTTAATTTAAATTTGTTCAAAGTATTTATTTATTTTTTTGTTAATTTAGTGAGTGAGAATTTGCAGCCGTTGGCAGCCTGAGATGGGGTTCCATTATTTATGAAGTGGGTCACATGCTCATGTCTGAAGATGATAAAGATTTGCAATAATATACATTGTATTTATTCAATTATTGTTCTTCTAGAGAATTTTCACAGTGTCGGAAGTACATTTCGACACACTAAGTATAATAATATAATTTGTCAAAATCTTGAAGAGGAAAATTTCAACAAATTGTATTATAACATTTGATGTACAGAGCTGTGTTTTCAACACACTTACAATTTTGTTATTCTTGTGGCATATTTCTATTCTACCTCTTGTTCTCGAGAAACTTAAGTCACACGATATTATTTATTTATGTACTATAATATAAATTGAAATTAGCATATATTGTTACTGATAGATAGATTTTTGCATTATAAACTTAAACGTGAGGGAAATTCATTCCTACCGAAAAATATTTGAAGAAATTGTTAATATCCCATGACACCGTGAAGGTCGAACCGAAAACTTTTCTTTGTTTTATACTTATCAAAAGTGAGGTATTATCTACATTTATATTTTTATTTTTTACACAATTTTGTCGATTTCCGACAATCGAATTGAATAAACTGAAAATAATTAATAAAAAAAATAACAGAAGTGAGTAGAAGGTAAATAATAACTTGTAAATGACCCTACTCTATAAAAAATGAAATAAAAATAAATAAATAACTGGGATTTTGTAGTTTGTACTGCTCCGTACTTAGAGGGTACTTGGAAATCTGTGAATTTTGGTCGGGAAAAAAAAATAGAAAACAAGAAAATTAATTGTGTTTGCCATTAATTCAGCTGAGCCATGTTTCTGTGTTTTGCTATGTCTCTGGCTCCTTGTTTTTGGTTCCATGAACCTTTCCATGTTACATTTGTTATGTTAATCTGCACAAACCTTGGTTTTGTCTGATATTTCAATTTTTGAAAGGGGACAGGATGACGAGTTTTGGAAAGCATTGTTTCACTAAATGAGATAGACAGTATGAATCTTCCAACGTCACTTTGCTCGATTTTGAGCAAAATCATCTGCTACCTCATCTTTTGAAAAAATTGTATATGAATCTACTAGTAAAAACTAAAAACACATGCTTTTTTTTTTTAATTATTTGCATGGCTAGGAAGTTCTCAAACAATTTAATTAACAGCCAATCAGTGAATAATAAACAAAGCTACCAAAACAGTGATAGATAGAGAAGTTATGAGTTATGACCCTTTGGAAGGACATGGACTTAAAGGGTATAAGTTGCCATCCAACTTTAATATTCTTTGAAATTTTTATCCAAGATGGGTAGATTCTTTTTAGGTAAGATTTTACTTGTTTTTGCTTCTCAACACCCTTTCAAAAACACGTATAATACTTTATGTATACTTTTTCAACAAGTTTTCTCCACTTTAGGAGGGGAAGAACTAGATCAAAAAAAGAAAGAAAAAATTCAAACTCCGCATAAGAAAACGAGCGTGTTGGCTTTAATTAATTGATCTAACGAACATCTGTAATTCACAATAATGTCTACAAAAAACCAGAACTTAAGTTAATGCAACCCTAACCGACCTTATGATTCCGCTCCAACAAAACTTTAGTACATACATATTTGTAAATCTACTGTGCAACACATAAAAAAAATAAAAAATGGATAGCAACTGAAGGAAAATTTCCTCAAAACACTGTTTATGAACAGTATTTTTCAGCTGGCTTTTAGTATAAAGAAATATGGAGTCTATTTACTTGAAGAAAACAAATTTTGGTAAAATAATGTAAATCTAATCCAATTGATGAAGTGACTTTCAGAAGACACCCACAAAAAGGTGCATAATTTAAGATTTGATACACCAACAACCTTGATTATTTTTATCTTAATTTAATTGCATGGTGATCTTATGAATCTTTTTTGTCTTTCAATTGTTGCAAGCAATTGTTGATGGGACCTCAATTGTTTGCCCTCCATCATCTTATCTTCTTCTATTTTTATAGTCACGATTAAGTCATGTCAATATTTTATATTAATTTTTTTTATAGAAATAATAAGATAAAAAGTAATGAGAATATAAAATGTTGACATGACTTAACCGTGACCATAGAAATAAGAGAGGATAAAAAGGATATAGAATGGGATGGCAGACAATCAGGTACTTTGATGATGGGTTTGTCAGTTTTGGTTGTATATATTATTGCAGAGGTGGTTGGCATATCTAACCCATATGGATTCTAGTTTTGATTTACTGTTGATTTTGGTTCAAATTCACAATTTTTTTGCATGCTATCTAAAAAAAATTTAGTGGATAGCGTGTTGGGTTTTTATCAATGCGTTTTAAGTTCAAAACTCTCCATTTTCTAAATTATTGTAATAGTTTCCAACCCTTTCACTCTACTTAATAATAATATTTTTTTGTAGATGATAATTATTGAGTTAAAACAATAAAACCTACTAACTAAACTAAAAAAAAAAAAAACAAGAAATCAATCAATTCATACCAAAAAATGCAGAAAGAAATGAAACACAATCCTACGAAATTGCATTAGTGCCAAACCTAGGTCAGCAGAACAACCAAACCATGAGCAGTAATCAAAAGGACAACCACCCCACCAGAAATATTTATAATTTGTTGGCCAAATTGTTGTTTGGAATATGATTTCCCACATCTTTTTTTTTCTCTTTTTAAACATTTTTGTTTATTTTTTATTCTTTGATTTTGTCATAATTTGTTGAATTCAAAGATAAATGTGTGTGTGTGGAGAAAATTGGAGTACATAGAGCGAAGTTCCAATAGTTTTTATTTCGCAATTTAAGATGTGAAGTTCACTAATTGTTGCAATTCAAAATCAATAACTTAAATTTATCAATTTTGAGGCAAAATTAACATATCAAGAACACATGTGATGGTAAATTAAACTTCCTACAATTACCAAAATCATAATTTTCATAAACCTTGCAATGCGTATATTAAGAGAAAGCAAACGTTCTAGAAGGGACTAACTCATAGCTTGGACTGAATCTTTAACTGTTAAATCCTTAGTCAAGTATCAAACAATTATAAGTTCTAATTTATGTTATAAGTCGGTGGATACTAGAGACCCAAAAAGAGCTAACTTCACACTCAAATGCTCCCAAGTCCAACTCATATTGTAAAACTCATGTTCCACAAAAAAAAGCCCAATCATGCCAGCGAACGTTGACTCAATTAGTAAAGTTCATGCCTTGTGTGTCACCCAACCAAGGTTCGAGTCACACTGCTAGCAGTTTTCGTTTGTGTTGATCTATAAATTCCTACGTAAATCTATACCGATGGCACTTGGCAATTAATGTCATGCATAAGTCTTTCTAACTCGAAATTATGGGTATTGCATGACGCTGGTGGTACAAGTAACTAATCTCCCCTAAACTTTTTTTCACCATAAAAAAAAACCCCCAATCACCACAAAACTCCCAAGTCCAACTTATAACACAAGAAAACACTAGTAAGAGAGTCATAACGCTCACCCGAGATCTCATGTTTAATTTCTCATTTTCCCGCTTAACATTGAATTGAGAGTCAAAAGAGATGATGTAACTCTTGGTGCCAAAGGAATACTATGTGTTGGGGAATATGATTTTGTGGGTCCTCTGGAATTGGAATGCTAGAAAGAGGGGCAGAAGCTGAAGAGAAGATGCCCACAAGAGCCTATACTTTAGTGACAAAAATTCAAAAGTAATAGGACCCATCACAGCTTATAATTTGCTGGAGCCTGGAATTATCAATCATATATAATGATACAACTAACAAGCAGGCCTGTCTCAAAACATAGTAGGTGCAGAAAATTAGATGAAGTTCTTTTGATTAGGTAAACTTTAGGGAGGCAGATTCTCTGCCTTGCTTTTACCATACCCTTCTCATCCTCTCATATGTTATGCGATCACGGTTAAGTCACGTCAATATTTTATATTGAATTTTTTATAGAGATAATAAGACAAAAAGCAATAGGAATATAAAATGTTGACGTGACTTAACCGTGATCGCACAAAGAGGAGGGGATAGGAAGGGTATGGTATTGGGAGAGCAGACAATCTGCCTCCAAACCTTAGGCCATTTTTAATGGGATTAATGATACTATGTCTGTTGGGTGTACTAGATTTTGAGTTGAGATCCATTGGATCTATGTGTTTGAAGTCGAGGAACTCGGAAATCCGAACTGTTCAAAAGAGGAAGAGATTCAGGTCGTTCAAAAAACTTGATTTTATGTGAAGTGAGCCAGTAAAATTGACTAATGGGGTCCCAATATTTAAATTGAGGGGGTCCCTTTTTTGAATCCATGGGTTCCAGTCACAGAAATCCGGAAACTATCTCAATTACATGACAAAATACAACAAGTTAAAGATTTAAACTAAAGTTAAGTAGGAGGAATGATTACCATATAAAATAAAATAAAATACAAAGAGAAAGAAACAGCACTTGTGATGATACAAACATGATTGCTTAGATTAACTAAAACACTTTTAAAGATTCTTGACTTAAATCTTGGTCTTACACCAACGGTAGGATGCGCCTCAATTAAATTAATCATCTAATAGAAAACTTTATTACATGTGACCACCTCCGTTCTTATCAAATTATTTAAATTAAATTTTGAGCACCATTCACGGACTTCCCATTGGTCCTTAAATTACCCAAGGTCATTTTTTTTTTTACAAATGATATTATTCTACACTAAGAAGGAAGGAGTGGGCTCAGCCTCACAATAGACTAACAATAATTTGGCGAGAATTGAACCTAAGATCTATCATTTATAAGTGAAAAAGAATATAACTAGATGGTAGTACTAAGTGACAAAGTCACATTTTTAAAAA